AAATTAAACCAAAATTTTCCGCCATTTTTGGAGGGGTGTAGCTCCTTAGGGGAGCCGAAGTCGCCCATGGTTCATATATCAAAGCACCCTTAAAATTCACTAAAGAATCACCCCTTGAAGTTTGTTGCAGTCATTCAGATACACCCCTGTATATTATATTTTTTTCCATATAACACAGCGAATTTCAGCTATTTTTATTAGGGGTTGACACCCCTTCATGTGTAGCACTCTAATTTTAACGAAAATCAACTTAGGGATGTCGAAGCTTTATCCACACCAAATTTTAACTCAGCAACTCACAGCTAAAGGGTGGATTTTATTGTTTTTTTCATCTAACATAGCGAATTTCACCTATTTTTATTAGGGGTTGACACCCCTTCATGTGTAGCACTCTAATTTTAACGAAAATCAACTTAAGGATGTTGAAGCTATATTCACACCAAATTTCAACCCTACAACTCACGGCTAAGGGGATGGTTTTATTTATTTTTAAAACCGAGACGTTTTTACCCTATTTTATTAGCAGTTTCAAAATTTATTTTGGAATTCTGGGATAAACAGCAGGTAGTGACCTTCGTAATATTCATCTAACACAACATGATCATATTTTCTATGTTCAATCCGTTTCACTGTGCGTTTTAATCTTAGCGACGGATTTGCGACGTGGTGGAATTGACAAATTCCGTCGCTGAAAAGTCGTCGCTAACTTCACTCCAATGAAACAGTTAACGAAACAAAACCATGTATTCTACATTCTAAGTTTTCGTGTTGATGTAGTATTATTGTAATGCCTAAGCTTAACGAAGTAAATTTTAAAACTTACCTCTCTAACTAAACAGTTGTGCGAATTCAAATCACGATGAATAATATTCATCGAGTGCAAATAAGCCATCCCAGAAGCGATATCTTTCGCGAAAGAAACCCGCTGTTCCCACGGTAACGGTTGCGAAACGTCATGAATTAGCTCAGTTAACGTTCCACCGGCGATATACTCAGTCACCAAATGAAGTCGACGCTCTTTGTACAAAACCCCGATAAAACGGAGTACATTGTTGTGACTTAAACTCCTTAGAACAGCAACCTAAATTAAATTAACCATCAAAAAGAAGTCTTATTTATATTTAAGATAATACAGACTTCTTTCAAAAAGTTTTTTTGGGCCTCCTCATCCAATCGATACAATTCTTTAAGCACCATAACTTCCGCGGTGTCCCTCGTTGTTACTTTAAAAACTTGCCCGAAAAAACCTTGCCCCAAAAGTTCACCTTTCACTAAATCCGACGCCCTAAAAACCCTTTGTTGCGGCTTCGGTTCCAAAAATGAGTAAGCCCGAGACAATTCAAGGCAACGCTTATTATTTGGAGCTCTAAGAAACAAATTAATAAATTAATTGATAAATATAGTAGTAATAAATTGAACTTACTCGTCGAGTAATCGACTCATTGAAGAGCTCCTTTCCTTATCCAACGAAGGTCTTTTCTCCAAATTTTTCCTTTTTAACTGTCTCGACCTTACATATCCACTCATATAACCCTCGTCCTTCCGTTTGAACAACCTCTCCTTATCTCCGGCTTTTTTTTGAGTCGTTTCGATCACGTTTTCAACACTTTTAACGGTTGTTGCTTCAATTGATTGATTCGAATGGCTCAATTCCAAGTTGTTCTTATTTTTCAATGGAATATCGGTATCACTTAGAGTTTGCGTTAACGGAGGAGCTGATGTTAGATTGTAATTAAGAGGCGAATTAAACGATTTTAAAATTGTTTCGGGGTCGTGCTCAATCGTTAATTGAACCACTTTATCCGAGTATTTTAATAAATTCTCAACGTTTTCTAACGTCGTGTCTTTTACGGGGGTTCCGTTTATTTCTAAAATTTTATCTCCAATGTGTAACGACATCAGATCATTATTCACGTTTAATCTAAAAGAAAGAAATTAAGTGTTGAGGTTAATTTAATTGGATTTAGCTAAAACGTACCTATAATAGCGTAATATGTTACAGCAGGGGTTAAGCATTGAGGTTAAGAACGTTAAAGCAAGCCGTAGCATTTTTCCTTTACATTTCCAAATAAACCTAAAGTCATTAATTAATTAAGCCTCTAATTTTTAATTTGTTTTGATTAAATTAATTGATTATAATCGAAGTTATTTACTCGGAAATGATGTGGTGGACGTCTGAAGTTGGATCCGCGGAAATTTTGATCCCTTTTTGTCCCTTAGGAATCTCTAACAGGCGGATTGAGTGGGGTTTTCGGAAAAACGGGAATTTCGCCGTCTTCTCCAAAGGTTGCATTTGCTTCTTGTAACATTGTCCGCTTAAAAAATTAAAAAAGGATTTTAAAGTTTAATTAAGAATTTTTTCATGTGGAACATCTTATTATATTTGAATAGAAAGTTCATTCTTGATTCTTGAGGCGCAACAATCGGGTATATAAAGCCTCTCATCTTGGTGGAAATTAAGCACAGTCGCTTGAGTTCCATCAATAATAGCAGCAGCATGAAGTTTCTGGTAAGAAACTTATTTATATAATAATAAGAAAATAATATATCGTTGGCGTCATATGAAAATTGCCTAAGTCCATTTTTTTGGGAAATTGAGATTTTAGTGTAATCTTGTTAAAAATCAACTTAACTATAACGTAGGACCATAGTTTGATAATAAGTTGTTTGGTGGCACCGCAATATCAATACTTGAAAATTGCGTAAGTCCGATCAAGTTTAAACAGTGTGAAAATGACGTAAGTCCGTTGCTTTGCGCGCGCTCACTACATTTACCAAATTATTTAGTTATTACGGTACGGTTTTTGTAGCTGCGATTAATTCCAGGAATCAGATTGGTCGTCTGGCGTCGGCGAACCTTAATTGTTTTTATTTAGTTATTAATGACAGATGTGTCGATGTGTCAAAACTCGACGTGACAAATTAAAATGGATGAAATCAAGGACAGTAGAATCTAACAGGACTGCTACATCCATTGTTGTGACAACCTGCCCGCAAACTACGTCATACCATTTGCCACGCCCAGCTCTATGCGTTTGCTGTGGTTTTAGAGGTTATATCGTAGACGTATTCATATTATTTTTGAAGTTTTATCTTTTTAGACGTATTAATGTCTATCATGTAACCTCTAAATCTCTAAAAACACACAGCAAAAGCATAGTACTGAGTGACAGTTAACAGGGCGTGACAAATAGTGTGACGTAGAGTGCGGGCAACCAACCCGTAGTGGGCTACAAAAATACAATGCATGTAGCAGTCCTGTTAGATTCTACTGTCCTTGGGATGAAATAAGATTCGACAATAACGTAAGTGATTTTAATAAAAAAGAAGACAAGATGACATTACAAAATTTATGTTATAACCGTTCTCAGGCAATAGAAGTTCAAAAAAAAAATGTTAATTTTAATAATGATTAAGTACATAAACAACGCACATGGAAATAATGAAAATTGCATTGAAGATAAGGAAAATGAAGTAGTAGAGGAAAATGACTACTTAAACCCTGATCGCGAAAGAAATTTGGAAGAACGGAAAAGACAACAGAATAGATTAAAGTGACAGTAACTGTTGGGAATATAACGCAAACAAAAAGAAGCGTGAAGAAGGGAAAATGTACAAGGGAAGACTGGAAAACCAATTTTTAGTTGAGAGAAATAAAAGAGTAATGAAGGAAAAATGCACATGTCAAAACAAATTATTTAAAACTACGAATCCTTTAAAATGTTTTCAAATAAACGAAGAAGTACGAAAAATGATTTTTAATAAATTTTGGAGTTATCTTGGGAAGAAAAAAAAATTTATGTTAAAGGACGTGCAATCGCATCAGATGTTAAGAGAGCGAGAAATAGAATAGCTGAGGATCAGAGCAATCAGGGCCGGCCATAGGGGGGGTGCCGTGGATGCGTAGCACCCGGGCCCCGTAATTCATGGGGCCCCAAAACGATTCAAAGAGCTTTTAGAACTAGGTCTAAAAGTGTTTGCTTATCGGATTTTTTTCCGATAAACAAAATTGTTCAATTAAAAAAAACACTTTTCAATGATTTTAACTGACTATAGTACACGCCATATAACGGCAAAACGTCAAAAGTAATGACAGGTCTCGTAAGTTAACCTCATTAAATTAAACTGGATCATTATCAATCATTATTAACTTTGTAGTGCCGCCAGTGCCATTTATCGGTTCATAATTATTCATATTTTGTAAAATTTGAAAGTAAGTAAACATATTTCATGTTTATTTTATTAGTTTAGTGAGAAAAGTACTTTCAATATTGTTAGAATTTTGAGAAATTCATCATGTCCCTACCAAGAAAATATCTTTCTGGATGTCAGAAACGCAAATTAGCAGAGAAGAAGGAAAATGAAAGACAAAAATTCGAAAAAACACAATTAAACATGTATTCCTGGCTTCAAAGTAAAAATGATAATACTATGGAAGACAATTCGATTCAATCTTTAATTGGACCAGAAGATTGCGAACAAACTCTACAAGATACCCTTCAAAATACAAAAAATACGGAAAAAACAAGAACTAACAGTGATGATAACAATAATGAAGATGATGTAATAAACTTAAATTTAGGTGATCCAAATTTATGGCCAAATGTTATAACCCATAACTTTAGAGTGATGTGTACTAAAGTTGGACCTAAACAAGATGTTCAAAGCACTTTTCCTAAAAATGAAGAAGGTAGATCATTTTCTATATCGTATTATTTTAAAAAAATGCCAAATGGTGAAACTCAGCTTCGTAGTTGGTTACTTTACTCAAAGACTCAGGACTCAGTTTATTGTTTTTGTTGTATATTATTTGGGCAAGAAAACGACAAAAATCAAAACACACGATTCAGACAAGGTTATAATACGTGGAGAAAATTGTCATGTGTACTTCGAGACCATGAGCTCTCTGTATATCATTGTAAATCTTTTATTGCATGGCAAGAATTACTGAAACGGCTTAACTTGAAGTCCACTATTGATAACATGAATCAAATGAAACTGTNCCAATGAATTTGAAATTTTACCGGTTAGAATAAATAAGAAGGCTTTAATACCAATGGAAAATTTGCCGAAACTATATGGTGACAAATTAAAAATTAAGAAAGAAAAATACGAACATCTTCAATCTTTAAAAAATACAATAGAGAAAGATTATCATGGTTTTTATGATGCTCTTCAACATGTTTAGTTAATATTTACTTCAACATCCTTAATTAATATTTAATTTAAAGTTAATATAATCTTATATAATAAAAGTTAATTGTGTACCAAAAATTTTTTCATTCCTATATAACAATAATAGTGTTTTCGGTTTCATAAAAATCGTGAATGTTTTTTGTTATGATTTTTGCCTAACTCCATTGTATTTTTTTACGAGTTTTTTTTTTGTGTTGTCATTATCTATATGTTAACATAGGATCTTGCCTTAAGCATTATTGAAAAGAAAATTAAGATATATAAAATATTACAGTTTAAAAATGATTTTTTTTTGTCTCCTATAAAATTTACTTTTTTGGACTTAGGCAATTTTCATATGACGTCAACGATATAATATATAATAAAGAAAAGTGTGCTCTTTTTAGCGATAAAAACCGTTTGGAAATATCTCGGTTACTTTTGGAGATATTAATTTTTATATTAACCGAAATTTGTGGTTTTTAACAAAATCGGTTATTATTTAAAAAAAATCGGCGAACCCGTATTTTTAGGAGTTAAGTGATGAATTATGTATCAAATTAAAGCTAAAAGATCGTATTTTAAGATAATCATTTAATATATAGGTGTGTATTAAAAAAATTTTTTAGAAAAAAGGTATTAAATTAACTTCAAATATACATATCTTTATACCAATGTAGAGCAAAATCTGGTGATGATATCAAAAATTTTAATTAAAATAATTAATTTTAAATGATATTTTAAGCAAATTTTACATGAAACATATTTCGATAAAATTAATAATTTGCTTTAAAATCCTCGATTTGCATTAAATAGCATTTTCGTACTATTCCGAGGGAAATTAAAATATTGAAAATTTTCAAAAATTGTATTAAGAAAAGTTGTTACTTTTTCGATTCTTAACAAGTTTTGTTTGAAAAATTTTTCGATACAAGCAATAATTATTAATTCCACTTCAGATATTAATTAATTAAAAAATTCGTTAAATCGATTTTTGAGATATCTTTATGAAACTTGTCAAGTAAATAAAAAAAAAGTATGCTCTTTTTAGTGGTGAAAACCGTTTGGGAAAATCCCGAATAGTTTCAGAGATATTAATTATTAAGTTAAATGAAATTTGTGGTTTTTAACAAAACTAGTTATACAGGGTGTCACACAAAAAACGCCCCAAGCTGTAACTCTGTCATTTACGTTCCGATTTTAATGAGCCAGGTATCAAATGAAATGGTTTGATAAATACTATGATTCATGCTACAAATAATATTTTTCCAACGCCATCTTGAATTTCAAACGAATATGAACTTTTATTTTTCAAATTGCACCGTATATTTTTCGTCACGTCATTAGACAGAGATTTTTTTTCTGAATCCAATGATGTACAGTACATCCATTTTGAATGTAATTTGAGCAGAGAAAAGCCACCCTGTATATAGAGGTTATCACACAAGAATGCATCAAGCTGTAATTCAGTCATTTACAATCCGATTTTCACGAGCCAGGTATCAAATGAAATGGATTGATGAATACTATGATTCATGCTACAAATAAATTTTTTCCATAGCCATCTTCAATCTCAAGCGATGTCAACTTTTGATTTTCAAATTGGTCAATGTTTTTTTTTCACGTTATTGGATACTTTTTTTTTAATCCTTTGATGTATAACACATCAATATTAATGGTAATTTTAGCAGAGAAAAAAAATTAAAACACTTTCCGAACATTCTCATAAAGTCACTTGCGTTATAATGAAGTGTGCCATGGAAAAAAATAAATAACGCATAAAACTGGTAACAGACATTAAATGCTATTTCAATGGCTGAAACCCGTTATTAAAATTGAACAAGTAATAATTTTATTTCACAAAGAAAAAGAAAAACAAAAATCAAAACTAAAAAAAAATCACAAATATTGTTCGAATTGATTACTGTCATGCTCAATACAACACTGGCATCTCCTTATAACGCCATGCGTGGCATTTAATATGAAATTGTTAGGTATTTCCCGACAAACTTCAATTATGCGGTTTCTGAAATTTGTGGCATTGCTAAGTAAACTCGATCTTGGAGATATCTCCAAAGCCAAAAATCTAAGGGCGTAAGGTCAGGCGATCGCGCAGGCCAACGAATAGGTCCATTAGTGC